GAATTCCCCCAATATCCAACCTGAGCCTCCCCTGGCACAGCTTGAGGCCGTTTCCCCTTGTCCTGTCCCTGTTCCCTGGGAGCAGAGCCCGACCCCCCCCGGCTCCCCCCTCCTGGCAGGGACTTGCAGAGCCAGAAGGTCCCCCCTGAGCCTCCTTTTCTCCAGGATGAGCCCCCCCAGCTCCCTCAGCCGCTCCTGCTGCTCCAGACCCTTCCCAGCTCCCTTCCCTTCCCTGGACACCCACAAAGTGCAGGGAGGTCTCAAGGTTTGGAGGTGATGGGCATGAGTGAAGCAGTGACCCTAAACCAAGCAGCTCTTCCCTGAGACCTTCTGGGAAGGGTTTTCCATCCTCCTGGTCCAGAATGACAGGGAGGTGCCAGTGCTGTTGCAGTGATGTAAGGACGGGTGTGCAAACAGCTGTGGGTTCTCGCTCTTCCTGCCCATCCAAACTGGAATAATGAGGGTTGGGACACCCTGGCACAGGTTGGCCAGAGAAGCTGTGGCTGCCCCTGGATCCCTGGAAGTGTCCAAGGCCAGGTTGGACGGGGCTTGGAGCAACCTGGGCCAGTGGAAGGTGTCCCTGCCCATGGCAGGAGAATGAAACAACATTGTCTTTAAGGTCAATCCCACTCCAAACCATTCCATAATTCCATGACAAACCAGCAGAGACACCGTGGAACAGGAAAACTTCATCCCTCAGTTGCTGCCAAGTCCAAGGGATGACAAAACCATCGGTGCTGATCCCCCTCTTCCAATTAGAACTGCAAGTCCCTCACCCGGATTTGCCACGAGCTGCCAGTTTTCTGGGATTGTTCCACTCCATTTAAAGTGACTGATTTTTCTCACTGGGGAAATTAATTGTTTTCTGCACCGTTTGGGAGCGATTTATTGGCCCCAGGACACACTGGGGTGTTTTATCAACATCTGCTGCTGCCAGTCAGGGCAGGGCACTGCCCTGGGAGCTCTGCCTTGGAGTCCAGGGGGTGTTTGGGTTAATTTGACTTAAATTTTACTGAAATTTCACAAACTTCCATCCAGTGACACCCCCAGCCATGGGCAGGGACACCTTCCACTGGCCCAGGTTGCTCCAAGCCCCGTCCAGCCTGGCCTTGGACACTTCCAGGGATTTGGAGTCCCCACCCAACCTCTCCAGGCAGAGATACAAACACATAATACAAATAATAGAATTTATATTAAAATACTCCATGGCTCCACAGAATTGCCAACCCCAGGCAGGGAGTTTTCATTAATCAACTTTTGGGTGACTTGAGATGATAATTAGGAGACTGCCTATCCATCAGTTAATTGGATATTTCCAGATGACAGGAATCCTTTCATTTCTGTGTTTGTTTTTCGTTTGACAGAACAGCAAAGGCAAAACTGACTGTTACAAATGATAATGTTCTATTACACTGGTGATATTCATTTAATTGCCACAGCTCTGTAAACACTTCCATATATTGGATGTATTTAGCAGTAAAGAACCATCTACACACAAAAATCTGGCCACTCTAGGCAGGGTTTGTTTTTTTTTTTTTTTTTGTTTAAAAAATTACTTTCAGCCCCCAGCCCCAAAAAACACTGGTTTTAAAGAAACCTCTGCCCAGATTAACTGTCTTCAAGGAAATAATCCTCCTTTCCCCAATTAATCCTTCCTTCTGGAGCCCTTGCTGTTTGAGGGTTTGGGTTTATGTAAGGTTTGTTATTAATCCTGGCTCCTGGGCCTGCAGGGCTGGGAACAGGAATTCAGCGTGGTTTGCAGGGTTGGACTTGCCTTTCACAGCCTGCTGAGGATGGAACCTTCACAGAGGAATTCCAGCAATGCCTAATTCCCTGTGTAAGCGGGTTAGGATCCCTGGGGGTCCCTGGTGCTCCCACAGAACCTCACTAAGCCTTTTTCCTTGGCATCATCCAAGTGCTTCCCGGGAGCCAGGAGGGAGAGGAGCCACCTCGCTGGGTCCTGCAGGAAACACTGACCCGTGGCTGGGCTGGGTGGAGGGTTTAACTCCTTGGTTTGGGGGGTTTTTTGGTGTGGAAATGCCCCCAGAGCCGTCTGGGCAGAGGGAGGTTTCCTTTACTGCGAGTTCTCTGGAGGGGCTGTCAGAATCAGTCGCCACCTGAGGTCTGGATGCCCCTGGAAGGCTCTCTGGGAGCACTGGGGGGTGGTGGAGAGCACGGGTTCAAGCATGTCCCCAGGATGCTGTAAGAACCCCTCACCCATCCCTAACTGGGGTGGGAACTGGGAATCTGTCCCGAGCACCGGGGAGAACAACTCCCTTGGGCTGTGGAGCATTCCCTGCTGGACACCGTGGGGCTGGGGAGGACAGAGGGCCCCTCAGGGCGTGGGGTGTCCGTCATTTGGAGAGATCCACAACACTGGGCAGCCTCCAGGGCCGTCCTGGACGGGGCTGTTCCACCCCCTTCTGGAACAGATGGTGTGATGTCACGGCTGGGGCAGTTCCACCACGGCAGCCTCCTCTGGAGCAGAGCCTTTGGGGCCATGGATAGGGCTGCTTCAGCCAGGGGATCCTCTTCTGGAACGCTGGGTTGGATAACAGGTCTCAGGTTCATTTGACAGGTTCCATGTGATGTGGGGAGCAAAGGCTGGGAGTGAAACCCCCAGGCAGTTTGATGAGGAATGAGGGAACGAGGCTTTTGGGTTGGGTCCTGGGAAGGTCCTTTGGAAAGGGAAGAGGAGCAGTGATTTCTGGTTCATCACGCTGCTTTGACTGCTGGTGCCAGTCCTGAAAGATGAAAGAGGTTTGGTTTCCCACAGCAGGGGAAAACATGGCACAAATAATCTCCTCAGCTGATCCAAAGTGGAAGGAGAAGGGCTGGTTAATCCATCATGACTCAGACTGAAGATGGATGTGATTTTATATGAGTACATGTGATTTTAGTAATCAAAATAAGTGGGAAGGGGGATTTCTGACTCCATGAAGGGCTTGCCCATTCACCTGCATGAGTCTGCCACAGCCCAGCTCCATAACCAGAAATTTGGAGGGCATTGATAGGAGAGGAAGACAATTTTTGACACA